TAACGATTGAGAAAAGCTGATTTCCAATTTGGAAAAGAAGTGGGAAGAACCTTACCAAAGATGGAGTTGGAAGGGTTTCTGATGAGCTGGTTAAATGCAGCATCACCAACCAGTACTATTTCGGCATCAGTGAAGGCAACGTGATTGGAGTTGTCCTGTAACCCTGATCGTTCACTATAATTTCTACATCATGATACTGCCACACGGCCACACACGAGTAGGTTGACCCCAGGTCGATCCCGATTGCATGACCTGCGGCATTGTCTTTTCCCGCCATTCGAAGCTGAGAAACTGGAAGAAGAATAGTACTAAAGAAGAGAATTGAATGGTAAGAAAGAAAGAAGATCAAGAGAACATTTGTGCTTGAAAGTAGAAGTATTGTGGGGAACATAGGACACTTTTGGTTCATTATTCTTTTTCTTTTGGACACTTTTTGGTTCATGATTCTTTTTCTTTTGGACACTTTTGGTTCATTAAGTTGTAATCTTCTTCATTAAGTTCCAATTAAAAAAACAATTAATGTACAGCAAGCATAAAGGAGAAAAACTGTTACAGAGAGAGTAATAGGGAGACTGACTTTGGCTAGTCCAGCGGTACAAGAAAAAGAGAAAAGAAAATGCCCAACATACAAAGGAGACCAATAGTATTAAACAGAAAGAAAAAAAAATGCAAATTAGATGCACATATTGACATCCGTACGGACTGAAAGATGGCTAGTTAGATAGGTGGGATTCTACTTTTGGAAATGGAATAGCACATTAAAATCTGGCACACATCTTGGTAGTCACTCCTCCGAAAAATTTTTCTCCCTCGATGACTTCTTCCAGGAGCCATTCGGCCAGAGAGTGAGCTTGAATCAAAGTCTGCAGAAGACTCAGTCACATACCATAGACACGTATAAGCATGATCATTTGTATTTACTAGTGTGTGTTACACAAAGAACAGATTTATAAGTAAAAACCAGGAGGATGCATGATCATAAGAAATAACGCATTAACAGAGATGCTCAGCACCAGTGAGCATACGGAGTTAATATTCTGTTAATAATTATGTTTTGCAATCGTCTTTACTATCCAATTGCCATGTACAATGTAACAACCCGTCCTGTGATTTACAGAACAAAAAGGGTATTTTTGTATTTTCACCAACTTTGGAGATATTTTCCTTTTAAAAATGATTTTTAGGGTGCCCAAGGGGCCCACCCCTGATTTGTTTGTCCCCGGTCCCCTGTCCTATCTCTCATCCTCACTATTCTCTCCCCGAGTTCTCTTTTTCCCTCACTCCTCACAACTCTCTCTCTCTTCTCTATCTCAGTTCTCTCCTCCTCGCAAGTCTCTTCTCTCCCTTCTTTCATGGCTAGCACCGAGATGGTGCTTTGGAGACGACCATCAGATGCCACCATCACCTGTGGGATGTTCCTTATCACTCTTAGACTCTCCCGCTTCAATCTCTCAACTCTGCAACTGCATCACCGCGGCTGAGCTGCCTTGTTCGACACCAGTTATCGATTCCTCGACGTGAGTGTAAGGTTCTAGACCTTTGAATTAATCCTTCCCTCGTCATTAGTTGTTGACTAAACTTTTGTACACATTTTAGATGTCAAACCACGAAGAAACCACCTCGGAGACATTTCCCCAGTTTCCAGCAAGCACAGCCACTTTCGAGGCAATTTCCCGTCAAACCATGACGAGTTAGCAGGCGTGCAAGGTATCAATCTCTTCGTCTCACTAAGTACTACAACTTTCCTTTTTGTTTCACCTAATTTCGTTGAGTATTGAAGAAGTTATATTCATTTGAATCTTAGCCAGCTTCCGGTGACGTTCAAGGCTTTCGAGGCGTTTTCCAGCCAAACAAAGTTATGGACGTTCAACATTTGTCTAAATTCCAGCCAAATTCCGGCCTTCTTCTCCGGCGTGAAACCCAACCCAAGAAACCTCCCAGGCCTTCGGGCCTTCCTGCCAAGCCCAAAATCCTGGGCAGCCCAACCCAACCCTTTTATTTCCTTTTATTTTGTTAATTTAAAGGCCTTTGGGCCGTTCCTTTTAAGGCATTCGGCCCGTTAACCCTAAACCCATTTATTTAAACCCTAAAACCCATTAGGTCTAAACCCTTTAGGCCTAACCCGGCCCAACCCAAAACCCTTGACCTGGATCCGTTGACTTTGACTTTGATCGTTGCCTTTTTGAGTTTTCGTGCAGGACCCCTCCTAGGTTAACTTCGACGTCCTGAACTTGTTTTTGAAGTCCGTTTTCCCAAATTCAATCATTTGAATAGAGTTTGACTAAAGATACCATTTATGTGCTTAGGGGCAATTAACTATGGTGTTTCCATCTTCGCTAATTGCGTGGCTCTTCGGCTGCAAAGTACTGTGAGTGGACCCCTTCTAAAAATGCATGTTTTGATAGTAGAAATGCATACATGGAAAGTATGATTTGATGACTATGTTTTATGAAACGTTTTATGAGATAACATGCTTACTGAGGCTCGTTTGAATTATTACTATTTTTCCTATAACCCGTGTTCTTATAGAATATCCGATGGATGAAGATATGATATTTAGAACATGTTTAGAACACTTCTTTATAGTATAGATGATGGATGACTTTATACTATGAAGTTGTTTTTCAATATATGTATGTTCACTGGTTTTGTACTTACCTAGTGGTCTTTTCCACTACGGGATGTAGGGATAGATTTCGGTCCGTCCCGGGCAACAGTTTGGTGTTTGCATAGGGCTTGGAGTGTGTTTCCTCTGGCTATTTAGCATAGGGACGGAGAGTCGGCATGGGGCTTGGGGGTTATCGGACATTCACTAGTGATTATTATATATACAAGTTATGATTTGACACATTGCAAGGCATGCTAGGTTTCGGAAAACCTATGTTTATCATGATATATATGTGTTTTCATAAAACCTGAGGGTTAGTACGTTGATAACTGTTTTATTATATATATATATCAACTTGGTCCACTCATGTTTGTTTTGCGCTCCCTTCAGGACTTAGAATCAAGGCATACAATCCTTGCGTCCAAGCACTTCTGCATCGGCATCTTCGAGTCCTCTCGGTGCAGGACCCACTCCTTTGTTTCATTCAATTTTATATTATTTTTTTTAGTGTTCTAGTTAGTTGTATGCTCTGAACGCGTTCCTTAAATACATATTCATTATTCTTTTATATTTATAAGCCTTATCTACCCCTTGTTTTCAACATTTACACTCAATAAATGACTTTCGTCACCTTGGATGTCGGCCAGCACGTGTCTATCCTGGTATTTTGGGAGTATCGAGATTAGGACGTGTCATACAAACCATACAATGATAAAGCAAAGTTTTTAAGTAGGGAACATCCTCAAATAAATTATGTTTCCCCTTGAATCCAATGTGCTATTCATGTCTGCGTGAGCCATAATTCAAGTAAAGGCCAGTCTTATTAAAAGCCTAGTAAAAGCTTAGATTGAAGTCAATATTAGGACTAAAGCAAACCCAGTGAGATAGGAAATATGGTTAATACAATATATTTTGGTCTATAGCATGCGAGAAAATAATGTTTCCTGCATCAATCAAACTGACTTTTAAATCAATGTCTCAATTCCTTCACAAGTTCTTCTGTCACAGTTGAATGTGAGCCCCTTCTTTTGGCCGGTGGACATGTCCTCAGCAGAAACATGCAGGATGCTATTTTCATCAATATCAAAGCAAACTTCAAATTTAGGAACACCCCTCGGAGCTGGAGGAATGTCATTGAGTGTAAATTCGCCTAAATAGTTATTATCTCTTGCCATTCTACTCTCACCCTCATATATAGGAAACCTAGCATTCCGTTGGTTGTAATAGCAAGTAGTACAACTTTCGATTATTTTTGACCGGTGTTCTAGTGTTTCTTGGAATCACAACTGCCATGATATGTTCTCGACGAGCCTGCACCCCAAGTGAGAAGTCCCCAAGCTTGGGAATCTAACTGTCCCCAAGCTTTCCAGTTAGATTCCCACCACTCAAGACAGTAGCTTGAACAGCGGCACCATAGGCCACTGCCTCATCCGGATTGATGCCCTTGCAAAGCTCCTTTCCCTTGAAAACCTCCTGCAAAAGCTGCTGCACCTTGGGAATTCTAGAAGAGCCACCAGCAAGAACAACATCATGGACGCTGCTTATGTCCATGGTAGCATCTTCCAGACACTTCTTCACAGGCTCCATGCACTTGCTGAAGAAATCCATGTTGAGTTGCTCCAATTTAGCACCGGGTAATAGTTAAACAAAAATCAACACCCTGATGCAAACAGTCAATGTCAATGTCAGTCTCGGACATAAATGAAAGCCTCCTCTTTGCCTTCTCACATGCATTTTTAACCTCCTAAGAGCCTTTAAGTTTCCACCAACGTCCACGTTATACTTCCTCTTGAATTGCTCAGCACAGGGGTTGACCATTCTGTTAGCCAAATCTTCACCTCCAAGATGAGTGTCCCCAGCGGTAGCCTTCACTTCAAAGACACTGTCAGCTATGGTAAGTAACGAAACATCCAAGGTTCCCCGCCCACCCCCGCCCCCCCCAAAAAAAAAATCAAATATCATCACATTTCTCTTGCTATACCAACCGGCCTTCGTGTCAAGCCCATAGGCAATGGCTGCACACTACAAGAAACATGAGCACTGCACACAATAAATTATCTGTGCCCTTTGAGGCCAATAAGCACCAAAAATTGTGCTCATAGACGAATGGCAACAATGCAGCTACTAACTTTGCGTCTGTGCCCTCTATGGGCGTCACCATTTGTCAAAGGGCACAATATGTTCTTTGCTGCCCAAAAGGCTCAGCACAAATAAGGGTTTTTTGTGCCTTTTTCTGACACCATGTTAGATGACTTTTTCGTTAGCACAAGTTTGTTATTGTGCCCAATAGAATAAATATATATAAAAAAATATATTCAAACAGTAATACCATCAATAAGAAATTATTCATACATATAATGAAAATAATTCGTAATACATTTTTTATTCCATAAAAAACTATTAACTAAATCTAAGAACCTAACAAATACCATTACTCTCGAGTTCCTCGCATGCCAGACAACCCTCAACCACCGCAAACAACCTTCAGCCCCTGCTCCAGCCTCTGAAAATGAACATGAGTGAGAAATCTATCGAGCAGTAAAAGCAGCGATGCTGATGCATTGCTACTTTCTTTTCAAAGACTATGTAGCAAAGTTTCGACAGAAACGCCAACCAAAATACATAAATATTTTTCAATCATTGCCTAAATACACATACCATAAACTTTAACGATTTCTTATATAAGAGAGTAGCTAAATAGCAAGTTGTTACACTAGTCCTAATTATAATAGTACAAAGATATACTCTTCGCAGCATAATGCAACAACCAGCCAAATTGAAGAAAAGAGCAAAGAATAAGTAAAAAAACAAATAACCAGGCAAGCACAAGCTAATAAATAAGTTTTTTGAAATCTAACCTGCTTATAATCAAGTAGCTTTCAGCTTTGATAATGTCTTTCGTGCTTCCACTCGGTAGGGAACTATACAACAATATGAAAAATCATTATAATTTATCAATTTATTATAAGTCCGAAGAGAGGAAAGGTAACTTATCAATTCTAATACACAAAAAAAAAAATGTAGTTACTCTCCAATGGAATAACCAGACAAAAGGAATCACCAACGGGAAATAATAATGCACTTAGTGTAGCATATACAGAAAGAACAAACTTTTATAATCCAATACAACAGAGGAGAAAACATATACCCTTAAAAGAATAAAATTTACTGGAAGGCGAAAACCTAACCTGTTCTGGGATGGAAAAATCTGAATCTCAGCGTAGTCGGGATGGAAAAATCTGAATCTCAGCGTAGTCCCAAGGTGCACTGGCATCAATTTCCCCTCCATTTTCAATGCGCTTAAAACTGCACCCAAGCAGAGCAACCTGTATGGGAAAAGAGGGAAACAAAGTTTAGGTAAAAAAAATTCAGCATTTGAAAATGCAGATTTACAAAAATTCAGCACTTAAACAAACTAAAAGCCTGCGAATTCAGTGTAGTAGATACACATACATACATACATCTGTACGTACATATACATACATACATCTGTACGTACATATACATATAAATTCAAAGATAAAGAAAAAACAGATAGTTTACAAGAGAAAAGAAAATGAAGGGATAAAGAATAAAAGATATATCTGTACCATCTGTGGGAGGACTCATATTTGCTTTAGGGGCCTTTCCACCACCTGCTTAAAGATGATTCTTATTTAACAACTCCACCATCCAAAACAATGAACAATGGAAGCAGAAGATTAATAGGGGAAACTACAAGTGCTCCACATAAAAAATACATTTTCAAGCAAGATAAAAAACAAACAAAACTTCTAAGATTTTCCATAAAGCAGTTCACACAACCAACAAGAGGGGAAACTACCACATATTTCCAGTGATGTTCAAGGACCAAAAAACTTTCAAACATTAAAAAATTAAAAATGCATTACTAGGTTGTTCAGTCCCATAAGACTTTGCACAAGGTTACATGGCTAGTTGCTCAATGATCAGATTCGTTATAGATAAATATTACCATCTTCATTTTGATTCCAGTATTCAAGCAGAGACTAGATAAGTTTCCTATCCTTTTAAGTTATGTAACAGACCAAAGAAATTGACCAACTGGAATTACTGCTATTGAGAGCGACCATGGCAAAAACCTGTTGAAACCGACTGACATAACCCTTTGCTTGATGTTAGTGAATAAAAGACCCATCGGCTAACAGACTACAATATTCATTACATACACATTCATTACGTAGTGAAATAGATACAGATTCATAATATAGTCATCAAAACAAACATAGTCGAATTCAAAACCATTCCCACAATCAGTCGAAAATGACACCAAAAAATAGAGTTAATTAAAATCAATACCTAGAAGTTCCAGATCTGCCATGGAGTAAGGCTATCTCAGCATCTTTCAGAACCTGCAAATTCAAAATGTCTTAATCAAGTATATAAAAAGAAAAATCAGGTAAGTAAATACAATAGCTCTGAAGGTTAATATCATAATCCCCTGTTTGTTGTAGAAGCCCTTTGCAAGGTTTGTGCTTTCTTGTGCTTCTTTGGATTAGGACGTATGGAAGTTCTTGTCGGGGAAATTTTAGATGGAAGCTAGTTGGAAATTAACAGCATCATATCAAGCAAATTGATTAGAGCATACAAAAGCTAGCTGGAAATAAAATTAACTATAAAGGGAAGATTAGGAGAAAAATCGGAAGAGACTCGAACAAATAAACCATTTGCCACTTCCAGTACCATAGCAATTTGACAACATATCAAAGTACAACCAATGCCAGTTCATTTGCTTTCTAAGACTAGATTGTAAGTTCATTAATACATTATACATACTACTACCAGTACCAATTCATGCTTTATTTCCTAAACTAAATTACTTTACCAGTTCAACTTCCTTAAAGAATCATTGCCTACTGTACAAATACGAAAACCCACTCGTTGTACAATCAACCTGAATTGTACAAATGCGTTCATAGTGACAAGTCACAATTATGAACAATCAACCTGAATTGTACAATCAACGAGAAATATGAACAAATTTGAGCAAAATGGAATAACAGCCTTCCAATTAATTATTGTGCCATGAAATAGCTGAATAACAGCTTTCCAAAGCCAAATATACCATTGGTTAATACATTAATTAGTACATATACAACTCAATACTTGTTAATTCATAAAAACAGCCAATCACCTTCCAGTATAAACCTATTCGAAGTGACAGCAGGTCATTTCCCATTCGAAGCAAAAATGGGTATGTTTGAATCTGAATCAGATCAAATCCCCTTTTGATTACCCAAAAGAGAAAAACGCTCAGTTCCCTTGTGTTTCAAACGAACCCTAACCCTAACCCTAACCCTAAAATTAATCACAAATTATTAACTAAATTAACCAATACAAGTTCTAAATTGTTACCATTTTACCTGGAACGAAGTGGAGAGGAAAGAATCCCATTATACAGGCATTGAACTGAAGGGGAACTCGGGATGAGATGAGAGTTGAGGCCGACTGATTTGTAGATTCTGTGTGAAGGAGATGGATTTGCAGAGTTTGAGGATTTGTGAACTCGACTGAAGACTTGAGTTGAGACCCACCGATTCGCAGTGTGTGTGAAATTTGAAGGGGAAAGATTTGCAAATTCTGTTTCTGCGTGAGATGTGAACTCCGACTTGAGAATTGAGATGAGAGGCGAGGGAGACACAGAGAGGGAAACAGAAAAATTTGGCAAAAATAGAGAGAGAGAGAGAGAGGGAGAGAGCCTAGGGTTGAAGAGAGGCTCGGAATGGGAGCGCCAGAGAGAGAGGAGAGGCGGAGGAATTGAGGAGAGGCTGGGTTGAAAGGGGAAACAGAGAGGCGGAATGAAGGAATAAGGATAGAGAGGCGTGAAGATTGAGGAAAATGGTTTCTTATTTTGTTTAAAACATTATTTTAAACAAAGGGCACAAAAAATCTACTTTTACTTTAAATATATTAAATTATAGGACACAATTATATTTATGGTGTCATTGCAAATTAATAAAAAAAATTCCATTGCTGACATTAACGGCACCAAAGTCATGGTTATGTGCCCAATAATGTGTTTGTGTCCACTTTTCTTGACATTGCGCACAAGTCATGGTGGCCATTACCAAATGAGCACTGTTCCACCTTATTGGTGTTTAAACAAACACAAACACCTCATTCGTGTCCCTAATTTTGTGCCCAAAGGCCATTTTTCTTGTAGTGGCAGCAGTCGGCTCATTAATGATGCGAATCACATTTAGGCCAGCAGTAGCACCTGCCTTTTTCGTAGCCTGTCGCTGTGAGTCGTTAAAGAAAGCAGGGACTGTGATAACTAAATTTTTCACAGCAAGGTAGGCCTCAGCAATCTCCCGCATTTTCACAAGAATCATAGATGAGATTTCTTCAGCAGAAAATTGTTTCTCTACACCCTTGTATGTGACGACAATCATTGGCTTGTCAGAAGGACCTCCAATGACCTTAAAAGGCCAATGCTTTATATTGTTTTGAACACATTCATCTGTGAACCTCCTACCGATTATCCTTTTCGTGTCTGCAAATTGAGATAGAATTAGAAACACAACCCAACAACCAAAACTAACAAAGAAATAGGTCATATGATTGAAATAGAGGCATATTGTTAAACAAACGGTGTCGTAACAATCCCAAATTCTTTTCACTTTACTGTAAATGTACTACACCTTTTTAATTATCATCAAAATCATAATCTAAATTATAACTTATCATCAACACCCCACATTTTTTAACTTCAAATACTATTATAAATATTCAGAGAAAAAGAAAAACTAATTTGAGAAATAAATTAATGGGAAAATGGTATATATGTAGATGGATACATACAGGAAGAGATGAATATACTGAAGATGGTGTTGGTTGGGTTTTTGATGACCTGGTTGAATGCACCATCGCCAATCAATCGCTCAGTATTTGTGAAAGCAACATAAGATGGTGTGGTCCTGTTGCCCTGATCGCTCACTATGATTTCCACATGATCATACTGCCAGACCGCCACACACGAGTAGGTTGTCCCCAGGTCGTTCCCGATTGCATGACCTGCAGCTTCGTCTTTTCCCGCCATTCTAAGCTGAGAAACTGGAAGAAGAATAGTACTAAGAAGAGAACTGAATGGTAGCAGAATAAGAAGATGAAGAGAATATATGTGATTGAAAGTAGAAAATATTAGGTATGCTATTCATACCATGTTTTTTACCACATTTTCATACTATCTTAGGTGGTATTTGATATGAACAGCCACATCATTTGAATTAATCAGATTTTAAATTTAGTTTATTATTTAATAAACTAATAATTAAAAAAAACTAGTTAATTAAATGATAATTATAGTATACGAGGAGTCTTTCTTATTCCTTGACTTGGGTTTTGCAAATTTTTCAAATGATGTGATTGTCCACATCAGATGTTAACTAACGTGGTATAAAAATATGGTATAAAAATATAGTATGAATAACATTACTCTTATAAGGAACATAGAGCGGTCTGAAAGGTTATTCATTTTCTTTTGGACACTTTTTGGAATAATAGTATTTTTCTTTTGGACACTTTTGGTTCCAAAATTAAAGAAGCAACAGTAAGTTGTAACCTTCTTCATTAAGTTCCAAATCTAATAAGACTAGATAATTAAAAAAAAAAGTGATTTGGATTTAGTTAAGTAATCTTCTTCATTCAATTGCCAAACGGAAAAATTAATCTATTTCGTCGATTTGTTTGAGCTTTTACAATGTGCTTGATCGAGCTCAACGAATTATGTTCTTATGCACACATACAGCAGATTGGATGCCTGAACAAACTTAATTTTCAAAAGTAGATACAAAATAAAGTCATATAAAACATAATTTATAAAATTGACATTTTGTTTTATAAAGATTTGGATTTGATTATCGGCAGTTGCTAAATCTTCTCACAGTAGTATCATCGATCCTACAGAACAGTAACATAACCATTTCTGTTGTCTTGCAACAAACATCATGGAGTCTGACTTCCAACGTACTAAAGAAGAAAAAGAATCCCAATCTTGTAATGACTCAAGAAATTTCATGAAACCGAGCAAACATAACACATCAGTTGTTTATCTATGTCAAATTTTTCATTAAACCCGTCTCGCGCACTGAGCTGTAGCAAGATCACAGAACTCAACACATGATTTCTTTCAGAACAAAAACAACCAGCATATCAAAACGATGTTATGATGCATGACAAGCAAGATAAGCCCAAAGCAACACAACCAG